AACCATCGCGCCACTCGACCGGCCCCAAAACCATAAATTTTATAGAGACCTGCTACCCATATTTCACTTGACTCCCTGGCACTCAGAGAGCTGGATCCAATAATAATAATTAATAATAATAATAATAATAATAATAGAATATGATTATGTTAAACAAAACCTTGAGTTCTATGGCTGAAAGCCTTTTTAAGCCATATGCTAGCCAGTAAAGGACCCGGTCCAGGAGCATGAAGCCCAGACCACCAACAGCAACTCTTCAGTGGAAAAGACAAGCATGTCTATAGTCCTGGAATTAACAAGCATTTTTATACATTATATCTTGGGGAAGAAAGACGTAAGTTGTTTTGAATGAATTTACATTGGCTACTGATAACGGGGATGGGAAAAGGCAAAACAGGGGCAGTTTAGTATGATATGAGCACAGTCTGGAAGGAAGAAATATGTACTACTTTTGATGGGTTCCAGGCAACAGTCCTGAAAGTTCATGCATAGGCAGGACGTGGAGGCATCTAGTGATCAGCTCATAGACGCCTGGAGGTTGACTAAAAGCTTCAACATACATTCAGGAACGTGAGCAGTCTTTTGTTAATTGGCCCACAGATATTAATTATTTCTGTCTGTTTCTCTCACTCTTCAGGTGCTGTGGTTTAATTTAGAACATCTCAGAAACTTTCTCTTGTCAATTACGATAATCACCACCCGTCAGATTCCTAGGATAATTTACTGTTTAAAAACAATTTCCCACGGGCCGGCCGAGTGGCGCGATGGTTGGGAGCTGGCTTGGGACGCCAGAGGGCCCCGGTTCGGATCCCACATATGAGGGCCAATGACACTGCCCTCTACAAAAAAAAACCAAAAAAACAAAAACAACAATTTCCCACGGAACCGAGTTGTCTGGCTCCTGACAGGGACTGGAGAGGCGGCTTTCTCCCAGATGGAGGAGCTGGTGGAGGTCATTGTTTCTTTGCTGAGCCCTCCCCCTTCTCCGCTGCAGAATGTGCAGAGAGTGCCAAACAAGATGGACCCAAACAGGCCCACACCAAGACATATCATAATGAAAATGTCAAAGGTTAAAGACAAAGAGAGAATCTTAAAAACAGCAAGAGAAAAGCCGTTAGTTATCTACAAGGGAACCCCCATAAGATGGCAGCTGAATTCTCAACAGAAACTTTGCAGGCAGGAAATCTTCCAAGTGATGAAAAGCAACGACATACAACCAAGATTACTCTACCCAGGAAAGCTGTCATTTAGAATTGAAGAACAGATAATGAGCTTCCCAGACAAGAAAAAGATGAAGAAATTCATCACCAACAAACCAGTATCACAAGGAATCTTAGAGGGACTTCTTTAAGATGGGAGGGGGGTTAAGGATGGGTGAATGGGGAAGGGATTACAAAGTACAAATTGGTTGTTACACAGTAGTCATGGGGATGTAGGGTATAGCACAAGGAATATAGTCTACAATATTGTAATAACTAGGTATGGTGCCAGATAGGCCAGATTTATCAGGGTGATAGATGGGAGTAGGGTTGAGGGCAGGGTGAAAAAGGTGAAGGTATTAAGAAATACAAATTGGTAGTTAATACACTATGGGGAATATAATCAACGACGTTGTAAAGATCATGTAAAGATGGGCACTGGACTTAGCAGGGGAATAACTTCATAGACTGAGCCCAATGCAATATATACCTGAAGCTGAAGTAGAATAATATTGACTGTCAACTCTAACTAAATATATTGGTATATATAGTCACGGGATGTGGAGTACAACATAGGAAAGATAGTCGATGGTATTGTAACACCTATATACGATGTTAGAGGGGTAGTAGCTTGGGGGGTGGGTTATCATTTTATGAGGGGTTTAGATGTCTAACTATTACATTGCTTTGTACACCTGAAACTAATAAAAAAGTAAAATAATGTGCAGGCTCAGAGGCAAGATCATAATGTATTGAAAGCCTGCCCCCCCCCAAAAAAAAGTAAAATAAAAACAAACAAACAAAAGCCTTTCCATTAAAAACATTGTACTTCCTCCTATTCATGCTTAATGGATTTATATAATTTTAAAATATATAATTAAAATCAATTATGTACTAATACTACCTTACATTTTGCTATCAAAAGTTTTTGACTACTACATCAAATGCCGTGGCTTGGCATACATACAGACTTACTCATTTCTTAACTTGAACTTTGTCAGTTCCCTTATTCCCCACCACGACCTAAGTTGCCTCCTTCCCAGGAGACAAGTACAACCCCAGTGTTTAGAAATGTTCTACTGGGCTTTCTTTATGCTTTTGAATTGCAGAATCATACTTATTATCTTCTTTGTCTCCTTTCTCTGTTCTCAAGCTCCAATTCCATTTTTCAAAAATTCTAATGCATTGTTTAAGACAAAACAACAATCTGATTTTACAAATGTTTTCTTGCATTCGGTTTTTTAGCACAAAGGGAAATCACATTAATCTTAAAACTTTGAACTATCATGGCCAAAGGCCTTCTAGCTGCAAGACTATATAGCTATTTGGTATCTTAATATATAAAGTATAAAGATACAACTTTAGCTTCTCAATAAGTGTACCAAAATTAAGCACTGGTCACAAAAGAGTGAGCAGCCACACAACTGCCTCCTTGAACTATGTGGCACAAATCCTTAACTGTGAACCCTGGTCCAAAGAGAAATGGTATTTCCAGAGGGACAAATTACATTCCTCTTGATCTGAATTATTTTTCTGTACTTACCACCAAGCATGATTAAATTCTAATCTCAGTACACCAGAAAAAACAAACCCAAAACACTTTCCCACACTTTATCTCATTTATTCCTGATAACAAATTGGGTTAAAGAGGAGGAGGCTGAGACTGGGAGAGATGAAATGACCCTTCTCCCAAGGTCACACAGCTCCAAAGCGGCAGAGCTGGGATTCGAACCCCCAGGGTCTCCCCCAAGTGCTCACCTTCACCACCTTCAGCACTCTGATTTCTTGGTCTCCAACCAGCTCATCATGGAAGCACAGATCCCTCAAGAACCGCTGGCTTCTCTCCCAGGCATCCTGCACTTCCTCCTTCCAGTCCCTCTGGGGCTGCAGGCTCTGTTCTACAAAGGCGTCAAGTCTGTCTGCAGGGGTCTCATACAGGTCCTGAGAGGGTTCCATTTCTGCAAGACCAGGTTGCCCCTTTGAATAAGTCTCTGCTTCTGTCCAGCTTTTTTAATGCTCAGGAGCCAGCTCTCCTGCTGGGTCCTCCCTGCCACGTAAGATTTGAGAAATCGAAACTGAGTTTGCAGAGCTCGTTTCCTCTTTCTGTTGAAGGCTGCCAAGAAAAATGGCTGGGAGATACGAATGAGCACCGCTTTGCTTCTCCCCCCAGTCTCTCTCCGTTCTAGCATTTTTCGGAGTGTCCTGGCGCAGATGTCCCTCCAAGCCTCATTGTATGCTGCACGGAAGAGTAGACCCCACCCTCTACTGGAACTGGATCCGCCCCCCACTTGGAATTAGCTGGTGCTTGCCCCTGGGGTCCGGAGGGGCTGATGTCTGGGTGAGGGGGCTGGGGATTGGGCTGAGCCTGAGGAGTCCTGGGACCTGGGATGGACTGAGCTCTCTTTCTTCTAAGAGCAAAGGCAAACCAACCCTTTGTTTTTATTTTTTATGTTTGTCATCCCTAATAACTCACAGGAAAGAGGAAGTCTTTAAAAAGCTTTCCCTGGTGGTTCTCTTAAGGGTTTGATTTTGAACAAAGGACAGTTTGGGGAAGACACAATGGCTTAAAAGATCTCAATTAATGTGAATTTTGGAGGCCTAAAGAGGTGACCCTATGAAATCAGTAAAACAAGTGGCAGAAAATTAAACTCAGATTAGGCAATTATTCCTGAAAAACGACCTTAAGTTTGCTTGTGGGGCTGGCAGTGTACACAAGTGTTTTAACAGTCAGTCCTTTGAAATAGGAATCTCATCAATATTGTGAAGGTCACAAACACCCACCTAGAGAGGCATTTTGAAAATATCCTAATGCCACATGAATGCATCACTGTGGTTTGTCAAAAATGTCAATATTCAGGGCCGGTCAAGTGGCTCAGTTGGTAAAGAGTGCGAGCTCTGAGCAACAGGGTCGCCAGTTTGATTCCCACATGGGCCAGTGAGCTGCACCCGAGCTGAGTTTGCACTGAGCTGCCAACAGGAGGCAGGATGGCTCAGCTGGTGAGAGAGCACCTAACAACAAGGTTGCCGGTTTGGCTCCGGCATGGGATGGTGGGCTGCATCCTCCGCAACTAAGCTTGAACACGGCACCTTGAGCTGAGCAGCCGCAAGCTGCCAACAGGCTGCCGGATGGCGACTGGACTTGGGAGCTGAGCTAGCTGCACCCTCCACAACTAAGATTGAAGGACAACAATTTGGCTGTTCCCCTCCCCCAATTCCCCAACACTGTTCCCCTTCCCCAATTCCCCAATAAAATCTTTTTTAAAAAAAATGTCAATACTCAAAAAGGCCACTCTCCCATTCTTCCAATTGGAAGGGAAGATGGTGGGTCCTGGAAAACTGGCTTAGAAGACTCAAAAACTGCCTTGGAGATGAGAAATACACTTATGTTGGAGATGCTGTGAAGAGTTTGAGTAAAAAATAGTTTTTGAAACATGAAAGTTGAAAAGAGCAATTCTTATCTATTAGTCATATAACATTTCAAAACATAGTTGTATCGAAACCAATAAATAGTATATGTGCATATTTAATTTCCCTAAAGTTTATGTAAGCAGGACAACCTCAACAAATTTTCATTTTCTCACTGGGAAATATTTATTATTAGCACATTGGAAAAATTGACTTAGATTTGTGGTCACGTTGTATTGGGGCATTTTTTGAATATATATATATATATATATATATATATATATATATATATATATATATTACACACACACACATATATATTCCTATTTTAAAGACTGGGACATCCTATACATGCCCTTAATATGTCTCTGTGACATTTTGACAATTTTCCTTTCTCCTCTGCTAGGCAGTGCTCCACACCCACCTAAAACCTAGCATCCTAGTTTGATAAAAAAAGATTTGTGTGTGATCAGTTATTTTCCAGAAAATGAATGGAGATCGGGGTGTTTACCAGGGCTCGTTGACATTATGGTGACAATATTAACTCCAATAGTTACAACTTGTCGAGCACTTAGCATGTGCAGGCTCTTTTCATGGACTAGCTCCTTAAAACCCCCACAGGACCTTGTTGGGTAAGTCCCATACTACCCATGAGGAAATTCAGTCTCCGAGAGATGACGTGAACTGCCCAGAGTCACATACACATAACTGGATAGGCTATGATTCAAACTCAGGTTTTCTGGATTCCAAATTCCAGAGACTTGACCATCACTCTGTACTGCTGCCCAAGGCAGCTGCTCATTATTGAGCTCCTACTATGTGCTGGGCACTGAACGAGGCTTGGAGAATACAGAGGTAAGACCGACTCATTCAATGGGTGGTTTGTTATGTGTCCTCTCCACTGGGAGGACAGAAACCATGTCTCCCAGCATCTAGAACAGAGCCTGGTGCATAGTGGGGCCTGAGTTCATGTTGGCTGAATAAACAAAAGAGCTGCATCAGAGTACATTGCAAGAATAAGCACTTCATTACTAACAATTGTCACCCCGATAAACTTTAATTTTTAAAAAATTTTAAAAAATAAGTACTGCAGTGTTCTGACCATTCCGTTTATAAGAGTGACAGAAGATAAAGGACAAGGGGCCTCCTACATGTCCTATCAAGGCTTCCCACTCATGAACCGTTCCAAAAGGCCCTCTGGTTCTGCAATGTTGTCTTTCAATGGAATGCTGATGGTTTAGGATTATCTATCCAGGGGCGCTTGCTTCTTCATTTACCCTGGTGTTTCTCAATTATGGGAGTCTTGTACACTCGAGAGAATGTGATAAATAGTCACTGTGGGCCCTTCCCCAGAAAATCTTCTTCATGCTTTTATTTTGCATACAATTTCAGGGGCTTTCTGGACTCCAAGTTCACAATCTCTGCTGTAGAAGACTCTTAAGGACCAAAAGACATCCTAAATCCTTTGAGGGTCATATCGGAAATGGTGAAATTGATTCAGTCCACTAACCCTACTATGTGTCATGAATTCTGCTGGGTGCTGGGGATCCCACAGGGGACAATGATGGACATCAAGAGATCTTAGGACGGAGCTCTTGGGCAGCAGGGAGCTTCGTTCATTTCTGGGCTCTCAGGCCATACTTGGTGACCGGCATTGGGGCGCTTCACACCTCCCCAGGGAGCCTGCAAAACATTCTCCTTCCTGACTTATAGTGTAGAGTCTTGTATAGGTTTACCCAAGGGAACCCAAAGGTGGGTCATCCTGAATCACCTTTGACATGTAGCCACATCCCACCTAGGACTGATGTTTGCAACACTTGTCCCCCAGGATGTGCAAAAAACTGCACTTGGTGCTGCACTTCGTGCTGCCAACTTCAAAGCTGCCCTCATCCCAACCCCCTCAGCACAGTGCCAGAAGGCCTCTCCTCTCCTTTTTGTTCATGTCAACAATAAGAGTTTGCAATTCCTTGAGATCATATGCACTAAGCACATTCACAAAATCTGTGATGATGGGGAGAAGTTTTTCCAGTTTCAAGTCTTACATTGAACTCTTTCATCCACTTCCAAGTTAATTTTTACAAGTGGTAGATGATAAGGGGTCAATGTTATCCTTTTGCATGGGGGTGTCCAGTTTTCCCAACATCATTCACCGAAGAGACTATTTATTCTGCATCGAGTACTTTTGGGTTCCTTGTCAATTAGTTGACTGTGGGTTTATTTTGGGGTGCTCTCTGGGTTCTGTCCCATCAATGTATGTGCTGTTTTGATGGCAATGTCATGCTATTTTGATTCCATGGCATTGTTTGAAATTTCATAGTATAGTTTGAAATCTGGAAGTATAATGCCTCAAGCTTTTTTTTTCTTTAAACAACTTTGTGAAGTTTTTTTGTTTGTTTTTTT